ACCTTATAATACTTTGATTCTTCTTTCCCCTTAATTTCTTTAGCTAATTTATCTAATTTTGCACATTCCAGGATTTTCTTAATTAAATCCCCTTCCAATGGTAAGATTTCTTTCCTCCAATATTGCGCGTATAAAATACGTGCTGCTGTCAGTATATGCAATATAAGGTACTGTATTTCTTTAGTGTAATTTTCTATCAAGATTCCTAACAAAAACTGTTCCGGTTTTCTCCCTATTGAATTCTGAGTTATTTCTACTATCCAAGTTTTAATTTTCGTCCAAAATTTTTGTGCCATTGTGCAGGTCCACCATTGATGGTAGTATGTTCCATAGCCAGTCTTGCATTTCCAACATTTTGGGGAGTTGCTGGGGAACATTTTTGCAATTCTAGCCAGTGGAAGGTACCATCTGTGAAACATTTTCATCTGGTTCTCCTTGTATGCCGTCGCGATTGTCAATTTCATGTTTGTTTTCCACATCTTCTCCCACTTCTCTAATTCTATCACATGGTTAACATTTTGTGCCCATTTGATCATCGTGTCTTTCATTGTTTCCTCTTTCATTTTATACCGTATTAGAAACTTATATATAATCTACTTATTAGTTTTCGTTCATTCCCTAATATATTTTTGTCTAATTCTGTTTGTTCTAATCGAACTTGATCTTTTTTTATATCCTCTGTGTACTTTGAACTTCTCTTCCTAAATCCAGTTCCAATTCATTTCTGGTTTTTAATATTCCCCTCTTATTTATTATATCTCTATATCTAATTAATTTGGTCCAATCTACTAAATTTGGATGTGTTAGAGTTTCCTCTGGGGAGATCCAAGACGGCACTTGTATATAATGTTTTTTTAATTTTATTCCAAATTATTAGTAATGAATTCCTAATTGTATGTCTTCTAAAGTATTCATAAGTATTTTATTTTCCTCCCCACAAATATGAATGCCACCCTATAGTTAAATCATGTCCTTCTAATATTAGCAGTCTTTTATTTTCTAACTCTATCCACTCCTTTATCCAAACTAATCCTGCTGCTTGATAGTAGGCTTCCCAATCTGGGAGGGCAGCTCCCCACCTCTCTCTGGTATCTTGTAGTACTTTTAATCTAATTCTTGGCTTCTTTCCTTGCCAAATAAATTTTGTGGTCAATCTAATAAGTCAAAAAAGTTTTTTTCCATTTTTATTGGGATAACCTGGAAGAGGAATAAAATTTTAGGCAAGATGTTCATTTTTATCACTGCCACTCTTCCCATCCATGAGATCTGCAATTTTGCCCAGTTTTCCAAATCTTTCCTAATTTGCTCAGTTAATTTATCATAATTTTCTTTTTTAATTGAGGAGCTTTTTCCGTGAGCCAATTTCCCAAATATTTAATTTTTTTTGTTACTTGGATATTCATAATCCTTTCCAATTCTGTCTCCTCGTTTTTTGTAAGATTTTTAGTTAGTAATTTTGATTTATTCTTATTAATTTTTAAACCTGCTACTTCACCGAATTCTTCTATTTTTCTGATCAATTTGGGGCCAGATTCTAAAGGTTCCTCAATTATAATAACCGTATCATCTGCATATGCCTGGACTTTATACTCCTCACTTTTAATTCTCAAGCCCTTTATTTCTTGGTCTTCCCTAATTCTATTTAAGAGTGGCTCCAGTGCTAAAATGAAAAGAAGTGGGGAGAGTGAGCAGCCTTGTCTTACTCCTTTTGTTATCTCAAAGCCTTTTGTCATATCCTGATTAACCACTACCTTTGCCGTCTGTTTTGAATAAATTTTTCCAATCATTTGTCCAAATTTTTGTCCGTAACCCAATTTCTTTATTAATTGTATCATGAAATTCCAGTTCAAATTGTCAAAGGCTTTTTGCGCATCAAGGAAAACCAGTGAAAGTTGTTTCTCTGCGTGTAGTTCGTAATACTCTAATATATCTACTATCGTATGTGTATTATTTTTGATTTGCCATCCTGGCAGGAATCCACTTTGGTCCAAATGTATATGTTTGCTCAGAATCACCTGTAGTCTTTCCGCAATTATTGACATAAATAATTTGTAATCAGAATTCAGTAGAGAGATAGGCCTATAATTTTGTATTAATTGTGGGTCTGAATCCTCCTTATGAATCAATATAATTAGAGCTTCTGACCAGGATTTGGGTGTGTTTGTCTCTTGCAATACTTCATTAAATATTTCTAACATAAGTCCTCCAGTCTGTTCTATCGTATTTTTGTACAGTTCAATCGGTAATCCATCTGGGCCTGGGGTCTTATTATTTTTTTGTTTTTTCATTGCCATTCCAAATTCAGTTTCAGAGATTGGTCTATTCAATGTTTCTTTCTGTTCCTCTGTCAACTTGCAAAGTTTTATTTCCTCTATATATCTCTGTATTTCAGTTTTCTTCTTTTGTTCCTGAGTAAATAATCTAGAGAGGAAGGTATGTACTATTCTTTTTTTGTCTTTTGTTTTATAACATATTTCCCCTTCTTCATCTTTCAGATATTGTATCATTCTTTTTTCTTTTTCTTTTTTCAACTTATAGGCTAACCATCTACTTATTTTGTTTGCATGCTCAAAATAGTTTTGTTTCGCTGCCTTTATTTTCAAAACTATTTCTTTTGTGTAATCAAATTTAATTTGTGTTTAGTTATTCTCCTTTCCTCTATAATTTTCTTATTTTGCAGATCTTTATATAGCTTTTCTTCTAATTTTTGGAGTTCTTCCTGTAATTTATTTTGTTGGTATCTTTTCTGTTTATTCCTCTTTGCAATATATGCCATTGACACCCCTCTAATGTAAGCTTTTAAAGTATCCCAAAGATTTTGGGGCGAGGGTGTGTTCTTTTTTGTTTATACCTAAAAAGATCTCTATCTCTTTTCCCACTAGTTGTTTGTATTCTTTCTCCTTACATAAATACTGGCTTAGAATCCACCTTTTGTATCTTTTTTGTCCCTTCCAATGTATTATTATAGGATTGTGGTCCGCCCATTCATTTATTCCAATATCTATTTTTTCTATCTCCAATTGCAATTGCGCTGTCATCCAGGCCATGTCGATCCTGGACCATGATTGGTGCGGATGGGAATAGTATGTGTATTGTCTTTCTTCTTTGTTGATTTCTCTCCAAGTATCTTTTAAACCTAATTCTGATATCATATTAAAAAACTCTTTTGGTAATATTTCCTTTTTTTTTTTTGCTCTTATTCTCACTATAATAATCTTTTTTATCGCGTTGTGATCTCCTATTATACATATGTTTTCTATTTCTTGTTCTAATACTTTATTGTGTAATTTTTTGTAAAAATCTTTTTGGTTTGTATTAGGGGCAGAGATCACTACTAATAAGAATTGTTTCATTTCAGTATCTAATTTGATCATCAAAATTCTTCCCTCATCATCTACATACTTCAATTCTGATTTTAATCTTTCTTTTATATACACTGCTATTCCTCTTTTTTATTTTTTTTCTAATCATAAAAACCATACTGTATGCAATATTATAAGTTCATTTTTTCTGCTTCATGCAAAAAATCCAAAAGGGGTTTCCAATCAGCATAAACCCTAGTTAGCATATTTCCTTTAATCACAGCTTTCAATTTAGCCAGCTAGTTCCATCATCTTCACCATCTATTCCTCCATTGTGGGTAATGTCAAATCTTTCCACTGTTGTGCATCTCTTTCTTTCTTTCTTTCTTTCTTTCTTTCTTTCTTTCTTTCTTTCTTTCTTCCTTCCTTCCTTCCTTCCTTCCTTCCTTCCTTTCCCTTCCTTCCTTCCTTCCTTCCTTCCTTCCTCTTCCTTTCTTTCCTTCCCACTTTCTCTCTCTCTCCCTCTCTCCCTCTCTCCCTCTCTCTCTCTCTCTCTCTCTCTCTCTCTTTCTCACTTTCTATGTCTCTCTCTGTCTTTGTCCCTCTCTCCCTCCCTTCCTCCCTTTCTTTCCTTCTCTATGCCATGCATCCCACTGATGCAGCTGCTCTGGGTGGCTTATGATAAGTTAAAAAGAAAAAAGCTCTGCTGCTCTGCTCCACTTTCTCCTGCTTTCAATTACCCACTGCATTTTGCATCCTGTCTCCAATCATCTCACCAAGTTGCCTCTGTCCTGGTGTTTGTTACTTTCCTTTTCTCATGCCTGCAGCCTTCATTTTTCTTGCTCTCCAAACACACAAATACAATTTCTTCTCTTGATACACACACATCCACCAGAAGGTATTATCTCTTTGTAGCTGAAATGCTGGTGTAGTCCAGCTAATCCAACTACTGGAAAACTCAGAGGGGAAAAAGTCTAAAAGGAGAGGAGTAAGAACCTTGTATTGACCCCTGGAATAGCTTCCTTCTAAAAAAAACACAAAACAACCTAGGTGCAAATCTTCCACAAGCCACAGAAGCTCAATATGTGACTTCAGAGCAGATAGGGTCTTTCAGCCCAATCGATCTGACAGAAAAGTATTGAGAACATTTATTTCAGTATTTTTTTTTAAAAAAATTGATTTATATGCCGCCCTTCTCCGGAGACTCAGGGCGGCTTACAGTGCGTTAAGCAATAGCCTTCATGCTTTTGTATATTTTATACAAAGTCATCTTATTGCCCCCTTATGGGTCCTCAATTTACCTACCTTAGAAAGGATGGAAGGCTGAGTCAACCTTGAGCCTGGCAAGATTCGAACTTACTTTAACTGCAGACAACTGGTGTTAAATTACAGTGCTTTAGTCTGCAGAGCTATCCAGGCTCCAGTATTTGGCAGAAATTGTTTATAGTTTAATTACAACACAATGCAGCCCCCTCCCCCCCCCCCCCCCCCAAAAAAAGGAAAAATAGCCAGATTGATGTTGTGGTTAAGTTGCTGGCCTAGAAATCATGAGACTCTTAGTACCAGTCCTGCCTTAGGCTTAAAAGTCCTGGGTGACTTTTGGCCACTCATTGTCTCTCGTAAGGTCTATGGAAATTCTCAGTCATCCAGGACATGGTTGTCTCAAAGGTGCTTTTTCAAGAGGCAATTGGACTTTCTGAAAAAGCGTCTTTGGGACTCTCGTAAGGTACTTGTGGGCAAAAGAGGAGGAACGTATATTGAGTTACTTATAAAGTAATAAAAGTGGGATAAAAATCTGATAAATAAATAAAGCTGTTTGTTTGCTTTTTTAAAAAAAATGTATTTATTTTGTCCATGCTCTTCTCCAAAAACATCTTAAGGCGTCCTTCACCTCCTTGTTTCTCAGGCTGTAAATCAAAGGGTTCAGCAGAGGGATAACAATTGTATAGAAAATAGCAAGAATTTTGTCACTCACGTCCTGGATGGGGGATCCATTGCTTGATTTTGATCGGAAATGTAAAATGAGGATTGCCCCGTGGAAGATGGTAACTGCAGTTAGGTGTGAAGTGCAAGTGGAGAAGGTTTTCAGCCTGCCTGAAGCTGAACTGATCCTCATAATGTTGGCAAGAATATATATATATGAAAGCAAAACACACAGCACGGTAGTTGTTTCTACCAGTCCAGCCACATAAAAAATGAGAAGTTCATTTAGGTGAGTGTCAGTACAGGAGAGTAATAGAAGGGCTGTGATGTCACAATATACTTGATTGATCTCAGACCGACAGAAGGACAATCTGAAAGTGAAAATGGTATGTAGAAGGGAATGGAAAAAGCCCAGGAGATAGGAACCTGCCATCAGAAGAATGCAGGCTCTGGGAGACATGAGGACTGGGTACTGCAAAGGTTTGCAGATAGCCACGTATCGGTCATAGGCCATTGCTGCAAGGAGAAAGCACTCCGCACTCGCCAAGCCTATGACAAAGTACATCTGCATGGCACACCCAATAAAGGAAATGGATTTCTTATCTTCCAGGAAATTCACCAAAGACTTACAGGCAACCACAGAGGAGAATAATGAATCTATAAAGGACAGATTGCTGAGGAAGAAGTACATTGGAGTGTGGAGTTGGGGGCTGGCCCTTATTAAAGCAATCATTCCTATATTGCCCACCAATGTAGCCATGTAAAAGACCAGGAACACCAAAAAAAGGATGATCTTCAGGACAGGCTTGTTGGTGAAACTTACAAAGACAAAATCCTTGACTTTTGTGGTGCTGTTTTCTTCTGTCATTTTCCTTCCAGACCTGCAAGGTAAAAGAAATGTGGAAGATGAAGAAAAGCAATAAGTTTTGAAAAATTCATATGAGTGATTCAGGGAGTTTGTGGATTCCAAATATAGGGATGACCACAAGTTTGAGTTATATAAAAGTGGAAGGAAATTTATGAAGAATGAAGAGTGAATTTTATACAAAGTGTAACTTGCATTCTTCTTAAGAGTCTATTTAGAAAACTACATAGAGAAATTCACAACAAATTGAGATCTCTTTTTGAGCTCACTAAAAATATCCTTCCAATCAGTAAGAGAAACTTACTGCCTCATTTTCATGCTGCTCAATATGCTGGAATATATTTTCTACCATTCCTCCACTCACATTAGTATGCTGGTTGTGGGTAGTGAGCAATAGTCAAAACATGCCAAAGGCATCAGGTTTGCAAATACTGGAGTAGATGGAGAGTTAATGAAGGCTTAGGTAGAAAAAGTATCCACCCTTAAGATAAATGTGTGTCTGTGTGCATATTTCAAAAAACAAATTGCCATAGTGGGAAATTGAAATCATTCACCGTTACTTTTCACATTCACATTTTCACAAGAAGGAAGGAAGGAAGGAAGGAAGGAAGGAAGGAAGGAAGGAAGGAAGGAAGGAAGGAAGGAGACTATTTAGCCCTTGCAATTATTTGTCTCCGAACCTTCTCCATATTTTACAATTCAATCTACATAATCAAGCTATTTAGTATATTTAATAAACACCTGTTTTAATAGGCATTTAAATGCTACTGTGGGGGCTATTAAATATTCATACATAAATATTATATTTCTAAAATAATATTCTCTTTTCTCTCCCCTTCCTAAAATTAATAGAGGTGAGACTTTCTACAATGCAAGGGACTAAATGAAATATTGATTTAATTTGAGAAACAGTGTAATGCATATTCCAGATAATTAAATACCTGATCATTTTAATGAGAGTGGAGACTTCTGGGATTTCGGTCTGATTTGGGCCACTGTTTGCTTTTTGTAAAGTAAACAGAAAGGAAGCCCCTGCACAGTTCATACGAAATCCAAGTTTAGTTTACCTCCAGCTTTGGCAGAATCTTTTTTATAGGCAAAATTCCTACTCTGCCATTTTGAATTTACTATAGAGAATCCTGCTTGTTGGATGACTGAGCCACTGGGAAGCATCATGTCTTCTCCTTTGAAAGCTCGTTCTCAGCTTCAGAACAAAGGTTTTTCTTAGATAGAAATATCCTAAGCCTCAGCCAATAAGGAGGTAGTATCTCTATACAAAACGTGTATAAAATCAATGGACACAGGGATGAGCAGAATGTCAAGAACCTCAGAGAGTGAAAAGAGTTCCAGAATTCAAGGTAGGTCCATAGAACAGCAAAGGTCAATGAGGGAGACAGCCATCACATCATTACATTATTTCTTAAAGCAAAAACATTCTTACCCTGAAGCTCCCTACCAAATATAACAACTGGTGTCATAAAATGTCTGGTTTATATGCATATCCAAGAAGAGTTGTCTTTCCCCACAGTGCAAATCTCATTCCTCCAGGCTCTGGGTGCTTGGAGAACATCTTAGCATCCTTCACAGTCTCTAGAGAGGCTGTGATACAGTCTCCAATGGGTCTTAGACTACAGCTATTCCTGGTTTCATTAAGCGATCAATTCCATGTGAGGAAAGAAAAACTAGAGAATATATACATTCAGTATACATACATACATACATACATATATACATACTGTGTGTGTGTGTGTGTGTGTGTGTGTGTGTGTGTGTGTGTGTTGTTCTACCTTTAATTTTTTATAAATAACTCAAGGTAGAGAACATACAGGTGAAACTCGAAAAATTAGAGTATCGTGCAAAAGTTCATTTATTTCAGTAATGCAACTTAAAAGGTGAAACTAATATATGAGATAGACTCATTATATGCAAAGCGAGATAGTTCGAGCCTTGATTTGTCATACTTTTGATGATTATGGCTTACAACTCATGAAAACCCCAAATTCACAATCTCAGAAAATTAGAATATTGTGAAAAGGTTCAATATTCTAGGCTCAAAATGTCCCACTCTAATCAGCTAATTAAGCCATAACACCTACAAAGAGTTCCTGAGCCTTTAAATCAAAGCACATTAATAAAAAGTTATGTGGAAGTGAAAAGTGTGGAAGAAAAAGGTGCACAAGCAGCAGGGATGACTGCAGCCTGGAGAGGATTGTCAGGAAAAGGCCATTTAAAAGTGTTGGGGACTTTCACAAGGAGTGGACTGAGGCTGGAGTCAGTGCATCAAGAGCCACCACACACAGATGGATCCTGGATATGGGCTTCAAATGTCATATTCCTCTTGTCAAGCCACTCCTGAACAACAAATAACGTCAGAAGCGTCTTACCTGGGCTAAAGAAAAAAAGAACTGGTCTGTTGCTCAGTGATCCAAAGTCCTCTTTTCTGATGAGAGCAACTTTTGCATCTCATTTGTAAACCAAGGACCCAGAGTCTGGAGGAAGAATGGAGAGGCACACACTGCAAGATGCTTGAAGTCCAGTGTGAAGTTTCCACAGTCTGTGTTGATTTGGGGAGCCATGTCATCTGCTGGTGTTGGTCCACTGTGCTTCATTAAGTTCAGGGTCAATGCAGCAGTCTACCAGGAGATTTTGGGGCACTTCATGCTTCCTTCCGCAGACGAGCTTTATGGGGATGCTGACTTCATTTTCCAGCAGGACTTGGCACCTGCCCACACTGCCAAAAGTACCAAAACCTGGTTCAGTAACCATGGGATTACTGTGCTTGATTGGCCAGCAAACTCGCCTGACCTGAACCCCATAGAGAATCTATGGGGCATTGCCAAGAGAAAGATGAGAGACATGAGACCGAACAATGCAGAAGAGCTGAAGGCCGCTATTGAAGCATCCTGGTCTTCCATAACACCTCAGCAGTGCCACAGGCTGATAGCATCCATGCCACACCGCATTGAGGCAGTAATTGATGCAAAAGGGGCCCAAACCAGGTACTGAGTACATATGCATGCTTATACTTTTCAGAGGTCCGATATTGTTCTATGTACAATCCTTGTTTTATTGATTTCATGTAATATTTTAATTTTCTGAGATTGTGAATTTGGGGTTTTCATGAGCTGTAAACCATAATCATCAAAATTATGACAAATCAAGGCTTGAACTATCTCGCTTTGCATGTAATGAGTCTATCTCATATATTAGTTTCACCTTTTAAGTTGCATTACTGAAATAAATGAACTTTTGCACAATACTCTAATTTTTCGAGTTTCACCTGTATATAATAATCTCTCCTCCTCTTATTTTCCCACAAAAATGCCTGTTATCTTTTTATGATTTTTTTCCTGAATGTTTTATTTTTGTTGTATAACACTCAAGAGTTAATAAGAATGAGTGGAGTGGCCTTACAAATTCTTGAAAAAAAGAAATTTTTAAAATGAAGTTTGTTTGGTTTTACTTTACTGCTGCTTCTTGATGTCCATGCAGTTCAGGCCTGGTAAGAAGTTCAGTGTTGATGATTCTATCACAACTTGTTCATCCTTCTGGGCCGATTGTGGTAAAATCTATGGAGAATTCTATATACATCTGGCAGAATGCCAAACAGACCATGGGAACATAGAAAGCAAGATTGTTAAGGGGGCAAACAGAAAAATGGAAAAATGGAAAAAGAAAGAGAATAGAGGGAATAAAGTGGGAGAAAGGAGAAAAATAAATAAAAAGATACAAAAAACAACTGCTTCTGTTATATTAAGAAAAAAGTTTAATAATATACATTATATATATTATTATATAATTTTAATATATATTATATGTGCTAAATATAAAATATTAAGTATGATAATATAATTATTATATTTAATAATATATATTAAACACATATATTAAACATTTATATGTGTGTGTTTCACACACGCACACACACAATACAGGTAGTCCTCGACTTGCAACAGTTCATTATAAGTCATGACTTATGATCATTTTTCACACTTATAATCAGTGCAGCATCTCTGTTAGGAAATTGTTATTACCCAACTGGTCGGTCAGGAAATATATAAACCAAAATTGTGTGTTTGTAGCTAAAGTATTATGTAGTTTTAAAAACTGTGTTGCATCATCCTGCATCCTGATTGACTGAGCTCTGTAGCCAATGTACTTAAGGAGAGCTGAATTATGGTTTGTGTGGACACTACACCATTTTACCAGCTGATATGTTGTAACTCTATATTTGATCTCTCTGCATGATCATTGCTTGATCATGGTTATTTATTGCTTTTCTAATATTTTTGACTGTTTTTATATTGAACTGTGTTCCTGAATGAAACTAAAGAAGATCTGTTTTATTGTATTTTTCTACAACTGTAAGAAGACTTTATATTTGGAAAATATCCCTGGACTGATCTTATCTCATTTTATATGTGTATGACTTGGAATGTTTTTGGACTATGATTTTTCTTTTTCCCTAAAAGTAAAATATTATCAAAACCCAGTTTGTTTGTATGTGAATTGTTATTATCCATAATCATTCTCAGTCACTTTCGTGCATAAACTCAAAGGGTACTCTGCTCAATAACCCACCACATCGGTTGTGAGCCAAGAATATCCTTAACAATCTCCATGGACACATGATCAAAATTCAGACCTTCACAACTGACTCACATTTATGGCGGTTGCAGTGTCCCAGGGTTATGTAATCAGCTTTTAAGGACTTCTGACAAACAAAGTCAATGAGAAAGCCAGATTCACTTAACAACTGTATTACTAACTTAACAACGGCAGTGATTAACAACTGTGAGAAGGGCAGTCTGGATTTTTCAGCCTAACTTACCTTACAGAAAAGTATTGAGAAAAATACTTTCCTGACAGCAGGGAACTGCTTGAGTGCACAGTTCTACTCTTCTAAGTCAGTGTTAGAGAGATTCTCCAACAAGGACCCAGGCACGTAAATAGGGTTGTCCTCTGAACAGCTGCTGGACAAAAGCTAAACTGGAAGGCCAGATCAATTCAATGGGTGTATATTTACATATCTTTTCTTTGTTTGATTCTGGATCCATGTGATAAGGAGTAGTGGGCTAGTTTGTGAAAGTTAACTCAGCAAGACTGCTTCTTGGACCTTCCAGAGCCTAAGGAAGCAAGAAGAGGTTGTGTTCAGTTCCTCAAGTACAGTAATCTAATGGGGCTATACTGCAAATCCAAGTCAGTAGAGGACATCCTGGCATGTCTCTTCAATCAGAAATGTTGGCTTGATAGCTGAACTTAGTATTACAGTTATGCAAACCCAAAGAGTTGCAATTTGGGTAGTAGGGAGAAGGTAATCTGCTTATTCATTGGATGGTAAATGAGAAACAAGCCCTCATTTCTCTTCCATTTACATGTTTCATAGTTTATCCAGCTCCAGCATGACAAAACAACCAAGTTCTGACAAGGATATCTCTAACATCCCGTTTGGAATTAGGTGGGTTTAAAACCCAGGAGAAAATATATTTTGATTTCCCCCTTTCTAAATATATATTTCTAGGAAATCTACAAGGAGCACATGCATCACTGGAATAGAAATGCATTGAGAATGTTAGAGGATCCACCAACTGATTTCACAGCTCAGGGTGAAGATGTGCATAGACTGGTTTATTCATTTGATTTTTTAAGGCTTCCTCCTCATCAAATTACTGTAGACAACTTATATAGGAGTAAAAATATCAAAACAACGAATCCATAAAAATCATTTTTATTTCGTATTATCAATCAGACAATTAATTCCAAAACACTCATAAGCATGGTGACAGTGATTCCAATGCAATATTGCAGGTTGACTTTGCCTGCAGCCAGAAGTTCGATCCTGACTGGCTCAAGATTGACTCAGCCTTCCATCCTTCTAAGGTTAGTAAAATGAGGATCCAAATTATTGGGGGCAATATGCTGACGTTTGTAAACCCTTCAGAGAGTGCTGTAAAGCACTATGTAGTGGTATATAAGTCTAAGTGCTGTAGCTGTTGCTAAACATGATCTCATGGTTTCTTGGCCTTGTGCCTAGACAGAAAAGAAGTCTTCATGGAAGATCCTAACACTTTGTCATCAAGTACATGAAAAGAAGAATACAGTAAAGCATATTAAATCATTTATAACAAAGAACATTCTGCTTTTATATTTCAGAGAAATTATTTACAGATTAATTACAATACCATGGCCTCTCTAAATTAGGAAAACTGTTGCTTTCTTTAAACAAAAAAATAGCTAATTATTTTGACCCAGGCTCTTCTCCAAGAACTTCTTAAGGCATCCTTGACCTCTTTGTTTCTCAGGCTATAAATCAAAGGGTTCAGTAAGGGGATAACAATTGTGTAGAAAACAGCAAGAATTTTGTCACTCATATCTTGATGGGGTGATTTGTTGCTAGATTTTGGTTGGAAGTGTAAAATAAGGATTGCCCCGTGGAAGATGGTAACCACGATGAGGTGTGAAGTGCAGGTGGAGAAAGCTTTCAGCCTGCCTGCGGCAGAGTGAATCCCTATTACAATGTTGGTGAGAATGTATATATAAGAAACTGCTACACTCAGGATGGTGATTACTTCCACAAGCCCAGCCACATAAAAGATCAGAAGTTCATTGATGTAAGTATCAGAACAGGAAAGTGATAAAAGCGCAGTGATGTCACAGAAAAAATGATTGATAACTGAACCACAAAATGAAAGTTGGAAAGTAAAAATAGTATGTATAAAAGAATGTAAAAGACCCAGAACATAGGAACCTACCACCAGAAGAATACAGGCCTTGGGAGACATGAGGACAGGATACAACAAGGGTTTGCAGATAGCTACATACCGGTCATAAGCCATTGCAGCAAGGAGAAAGCACTCTGCACTCCCTAGACCTATAAAAAAGTACATCTGTATTGCACATCCAGTATAGGAAATTGAGTTTTTATCTGCTAAAAAGTTTGCTAACATCTTTGGAGCAAACACAGAAGAGAAACATGCATCCAGAATGGATAAGCTGCTGAGAAAGAAATACATAGGGGTATGGAGACAGGCACTGGTCCCTATTAAAGCAACCATTCCTAGATTTTCTATCAAAGTAGTTACATAAATGAGAAAGAATATTAAAAAGAGGATGATCTGCATTTTAGGACTGCTTGTTAATCCTACAAATATGAACTCCTTGATAGCTGTGGTGGTGTTTTCTTCAAACATCACGTCCAGATTTTTTTCCCCCATATCTGCAAAATTCCAAAGAATAGATAAGGAAAAACATTTTTTGTTTGTTTTTGTACAACACAAAATGAATGTACAGAGTTTATTGCCATCAATGAGTAAAGATAATTAAATAAGGTGGTAGAAATCTTTCGGCAATAAATCTGGGTTCCAAATAAATAATTATGTCAGTTTATTGCCTGCAAGCAGCAAAACCGATAAATTACTTTCAACTGGTTTAAGAATTTAACAATTGTATTTAATCTACAATCTGATGTACCCCAGAATTGAATGCTACTGAAGCAAATTTATATTATATGATTGAATAAATATACATGATTATTGGTTAATGCTTAAAAAGTATCTATTGGCATGATGTGTATGATGTGTATTATATTATACCCTTAAGTGTATGATGCTGTATTCATCCTGTCATTTAATACAAAACAAACCCTAACTCCAACACAACACTATCTATGGTTCTGGAAAGAGAAATAAAATTAAGAGAATTTTAGTTTAACAGATGGTCATCAAATTAACAGAATTTGCAGCCATTCTGTTAATACTTTTTCTTTTACTCATTTTCATAATTTTCTGAATAAGCAACTAGCTAAATGTGTTCAGATTAATTTCTGAGCAAAAGGTAATAGTTGGTAATTAAAAAAGCCAAGAATAAGCCTGAAACACACGATCACTTATATATGTATGCACACATTGTTTTCAAATTACTAGAATTTCTTTAAATTTCTAAACTGTAAGCAAAAATCATTGAAAAAAGACATCCAGGTAGATACGATCTTCTCTCATTGAACAATTACAATTTTCTCAGTTTAAAATAATGGCAGATTTTGCACAAAATAAAATCCGTGGCAGGTAAACTACAATCATATCACACCTTTTGTTTGCCTAATGCACATTTTCTGGGGACCAGAAATCCAGCTACATGCAATACCTACCAGTATGTTAGGTTTCTGCATTTCCCCCCCTACCATTTCCAAATATCTTCTAGGGTTTTTTTTGTTTTAAATTAGTTATACCATGGCACTGCAGGTGACCTACAGAGTAGGTCCAACTTTTGTTTTTAGAACTGAATAAGAAGAATAAGAAAAAAAAAAGACTTTGTATAAAATTCAGAACTTTTCTTGCTCCATCTCCATGCTTGACAGCTACTCAAAACGTGTTGGATTGAAAACAGAATTAAAAATAAGGGCAAAATGGAAGAACAACTGACTGGAAATTGGAAAGGAGATGAAAATGGATGTCTTAATCCACGTAGTTCTGGGAAAAATCCATGTACATAGTGTAACTAACCCATAGTCATCTTAAGCCCCCATATCATATGGTGGTAAAATAGGTTCTAAGCCTTACTCACTGCATCTACAGTATTTCAAGTTGTTTTATCCCTTTAAGTCCCAAAGTTGCTTTTTCAAGAAGCAACTGGACTTTCTTGTTTTGAAAAACAAGAAAAGTCCAGTTGCCTCTTGAAAAAGCACCTTTGGGACAACTATGACCTGGATGACTGAGAATCTCCATATAGATATCCCTTTAAGTCATTTCTTTCAGGTAAAAGCTAAAATGAGAAAACTAACATAGTATAAAGCAAATATTTACTTACCTTGGAAACAGTCTTTGCAGAAATTTAATAAAATTCACAGTTGGAGTAAGAAGGAAGAGACACTCAATTCTCTTATGCTTTAAAAACTAAATTGTATTGATAGGTTTTCTAGGCAGCAGCCTTTTTTCCAGCTGCATAATCGTTTGTTGAATAATAATAATGGCAGTAAAATCATAAGTTTCAGTCAATTTTATTTGCAGAATCTAAGGCAAGCAATACATGCATTTTTAATCATCAATCCCATGATTCATTATATTATTTAATACCAAAAGGACTGCTTTATTTTCTTCATTAACCTGTCTGACCACATGTGGTCCCTAACGCTTCTGCTCAACTATTCTAACTTCACAGCTGGTTTCTAATTTTCAGGCCCTGCTTTTTTGCAATTCTTAGCATAAATAGAAAATGCTTGCTGATCTGAATTTGTACGATATGTCCTTGCATAAGTCTCTGGAGCAACTTAGCTTGGCTGTTCTTGGAGAAGTTAAAAGGAATTTAATTTATTCCCTTCTGAATTTTTAAACCATTCTGAGGTCCCCTACAAAGTTTGTATCTCAGCAAAATGAAAATGGGACTCTTATTTAGTTACGTGATTTCTTTCCTACATTACCTCCAAGAGGCAGCATAGTTTTCATAAAGTCATAAATTTTGGACTACTGTGACTTATGCACCTCCTAAATTAGAGGTGCATGGTCTGCCTTCTTCATAAATGTATGTCAAAATGCACCTAAGTATTATCTTTTTTTATCTGTTTCTTTTTAATTTGGTTTTAGAAAACGGTTTTTCTTTTTTATTTGACTTCCCTGCATAGTTGGATATTTTGGAATAATAATTATAACAGGGCCGCAAGCATAAGGTTTTTATATATTAATGATATTGATTTACATATATATGAGAAAACTCTCTTATTAATCTTATTTCAATATAAATTTGGGATCCCACCTGCTTACTGGAAACATTGAAGTAAATTAGATTTTATGGTGGAAAAAGACTAGAAAAGTGTAAGAACTTTTACCCTCTTTGGAGGGATATTAAACAGGATTTACAAAGATGGGACAAACTGCACCTATCACTTTTGGGTGGAATTTCTGTAATTAAGATGAACGTTTTACCAAAGATAAATTTATTCCAGACATTACCAATACTCGCAACCAATAATCCATTAAAACAATTGCAGAAGGATATTTCTAAGTTTATACGGCAAGGGAAAAAACTAAGAATTAGATACAAGCTATTGCAAGACGCTAAGGAAAGAGGAGGTTTGACTTTACCAGACTTGAAATTGTATTTTGATGCATGCTGTCTGGCCTGGTTAAAAGAGTGGGTGAATCTCCAGAACATGAGTTACTTGAATTAGAGGGCCATGAATTAAGGTTTGGATGGCATGGTTATCAATGGTATGATAAAACTAAAGTTAATGTTGATTTTAATAATCATTTTGCTACATGTGTCATGCACGAGTTTGGAATAAATATAAAACAAGATTCTCTACGAAGTTCCCTTTTTGAATGTCCCCCCAGGAAGCTTTTTTGAAGAAAAAAAATAGTGGTGAAACCTGATAGGTGGACATATGGTAAAATACTATCTTTCAACTCTGGTGACCCTACACTAAAATCAAGGGAAGAATGTGAATCAAAAGGTTATGTTTGCCATTGGTTTACATATCAACAACTGAAAGAAAGCTTAAAGAGTTATGGGTTTGATTTTGTTAAGAATGAATTGGAAATCTTACTATGTGGTAGTGATAAACATATTATTGCTAAGATTTGTAAAATGTTATTGAAATTGAATTTGGAAAGTGAACATGCAAAACATTGTATGATTCAGTGGGCAAGGAATTTTGAATATAATGTGATGCTTGAACAATGGGAAAATATGTGGATGAAGGGTTTAAAATTTATACTAAACTATCATTTAAAAGAAACATTTTATAAGATGATGTATCGCTGGTTTTTAACATCGGATAAGTTATCTAAAATAAATAAAGGTATTTCAAATGAATGTCAGAAGTAAAGAAGGGACTTTTTATCATTTATGGTGGACATGTGATAAAGCAAAGAAATTTTGGAGTAAGATTCATATTTTAATACATAAAATTCTTAAAATGAAGATAAAGATGAAACCAGAAAATTTTCTTTTGGGTTTAATGGAAAAAGACTTGGAGAAAAAAATTGGAACTTTGGTCTTATATATGTTGACAGCAGTAAGACTACTGTACATACAAAAATGGAAGGACATTTTGATTCCCACAATGGACGAATGGCTGCAGAAGTGGATGGAGTTGGCAGAAATGGCTAGATTGACCGTTTTGATTAAAGAAAAGAATAGATATAGAATAGATATTCCATATAGTCCATATAGAATTTCTACTGCAGCATCATTTCTCCAGAATATAAAATGGGCAAACTTAGTTCTCAAGCAAATTGTTTTAGAAATGACTTTCCACCCAGTATAATCATTGCAAATCAGTTCAAATGTTTTAGATTTCCAAGACCTTTCAGTCTGCTCTCAGTTCCTAACACCATAGCAGATTCATGATAGTGTATTTTAAGATTACCCATTATGTAGTTTTGGAGCGCAGCTTTAATATAATCCCTTGACATAAATGTGTCGATATGAGAGTTCATTGGCTTTGATTCTTTTCTAGATATTTAGGGAACTCTATTATTAACTCTGCTTATTGTGTGTTTCTTAGACTCTCCTGTGACTTTATGTAAGCTTCTTTCTTGCAGGCCAAGATTTCAAATATTTTATGAAGTAACTAAAAAATGCTTGAGAACTGTCAAAATATAAAAACAATTATTGCCTTAGATACAGTGGTGAAATCCAATTTTTTTTACTACTGGTTCTGTGGGCATGGCTTGGTTGGCGTGGTGTGGCTTGGTGGGCATGGCTTGGTGGGCGTGGCAGGGGAAAGATACTGCAAAATTTCCATTCCCACTTCACTCCAGGGGAAGGATACTTCAAAATCCCCATTCCCTCCCCAGTCCTGGGGGAAGGATATTGCAAAATCTCCATTCCCACCCCACTCTGGGGCCAGCCAGAAGTGGTATTTGCCAGTTCTCTGAACTACTCAAAATTTCCACTACCGGTTCTCCAGAACCTGTCAGAACCTGCTGGATTCACCCCTGCTTATATATATAGAAGCATCAATTTTAGGAACTCAGTTTTGATTACATAGTAGTATTTTAAATCATATGTTTTAAAATTGCTAATAGTTGATCTGTATTTAGTTATATAGTGGACTGCTGTTGAAAACCATCTGGAAACTTCAGCAGATACAGAATGCTATTGTGAAACACCAGGACTTCAGATGCTGTATTGACCACAAGTTTGATTCCAGATACAATTCAGGGTGCTAGTAATAAACTTATAAAGAACTACATGATTGGAGCTTGAATACCATTGTCCATAAGTGGTGAGGAGGTGGAGGGGTGGGTAGTTTTAAAATTCTGGGCATTTATATCTCAGAGGACCTTTCATGGACTATGAATGCTAACATGCTTGTGAAGAAGGCACAGAAGAGGCTGTACTTCCTGAGAATGCTCAGGAAGATAAATCTATCTCAGCATCTACTTCTGTCCTACTATCGGAGCACCATTGAGAGTGTCCTGACATACGGCATTCTTGCATGGTATGGGAGCAACTCTGTAGCGGACAAAAAAGCTCTACAGAGAATCATTAAAACTGCCCAGAATATCATCCAACTCCAGCTACCAGCCCTGGACGACATCTTCGAATCTCGCTGTTTGAGAAAGTTGCATAACATTCTCAGAGACTCTTCTCATCCTGCTTACAATTTTTTCGGACTGTTGCCTTCTGGCAGAAGATAGAGAACAATTAAAACTCAGACCACACGTTTTCTGAATAGTTTTTATCCCAGAGCTATAACTGCACTCAACAATGAACTAAAGGGCCACCTTCATTGCAAAGGTTGTTGAGAGTGTGGTCGCGCAACAGTTTCCGCAATTCCTGGAGGAAACATCCTATCTAGATCCGTTCCAGTCGGGTTTCAGGTCTGGGCACAGCACGGAAACGGCATTGGTCGCGTTGGTGGATGATCTCTGGAGGGCTCGGGACAGGGGTTGTTCCTCTGTTCTGGTCCTATTAGATCTCTCAGCGGCTTTTGATACCATCGACCATGGTATCATGCTGCACCGTCTGGAAGAGTTGGGGGTGGGAGGCACTGTGTTGCAGTGGTTCTCCTCCTTTCTCTCCGACTGGTCGCAGTTTGTGTTGGCAGGGGGGCAGAGGTCGACCTCGAGGCCTCTCATCTGTGGAGTGCTGCAGGGATCAGTCCTCTCGCCCCTTCTGTTCAACATTTATGTGAAGCTGCTGGGTGAGATCATCTGTGGCTTTGGGGTGAGATACCATCAGTACGCTGATGACACCCAGCTGTACATCTCCACCCCAGGCCACCCCAACGATGCCCTTGAAGTGATGTCCCAGTGCCTGGAGGCTGTGCAGATCTGGATGGGGAGGAACAGGCTCAAGCTCAACCCTTCCAAGACTGAGTGGCTGTGGCTCCCGGCATCCCGATATAGTCAGTTGACTCCATCACTGACTATTGGGGGCGAGTCGTTGGCCCCCACAGAGAGGGCTCGCAATCTGGGAGTCCTCCTGGATATGCAGCTGTCCTTGGAGGAACATCTGATGGCTGTAACCAGGGGGACCTTTTGTCAGGTTCACCTGATTTGCCAGTTGCGGCCCTTTCTTGATTGGGATTCCCTGTGCACAGTCACTCATGCCCTCGTCACCTCTCGCCTTGACTACTGCAACGCTCTCTACATGGGGCTCCCCTTGAGGAGCACTCAGAGGCTCCAGCTGGTCCAGAACGCAGCAGCGCAGGTAGTGACGGGAGCAGCATGGCGCTCCCATGTAACACCGCTCCTGCGCGAGCTGCACTGGCTCCCGGTGGTCTTCCGGGTGTGCTTCAAGGTGTTGGTTATCACCTTTAAAGTGCTCCATGGCCTAGGGCCTAGCTATCTTCGAGACCGCCTGCTGCTACCGACGACCTCCCATCGACCCGTGCGCTCCCACAGAGAGGGCCTCCTCGGGGTGCCATCAGCCAAACAGTGCAGGCTGGTGACCCCCGGGGGAGGGCCTTCTCTGTGGGGGCACCTACCCTCTGGAATCAGCTGCCCCCAGAGATAAGGAGAATCCAAGACCTCAGTGCCTTCCGTCGTGCCCTTAAAACCCATTTTTTCAAGCAAGCCGGGCTGGCTTAAGAAGAATTTTTTAAATGTTTTAACTGGTAGTGAGTTTTAATTGGGCCAAATTTATATATCTTTTAATTGTTTTTTTAATATTTGTACTGCATGTTTTTTAATTTTGGCTGTACACCGCCCTGAGTCCTCAGGGAGAAGGGCGGTATAGAAATTTAATAATAATAATAATAATAATAATAATAATAATAATAATAATAATAAATCAGTGAGTTGTTGGACAGTATTACTTGGTCTATTGTGTGGATGTTTGGGTGGTTTAGGGGTGGGGAATTGTGGTGGGTGGGAGTGTGTTTGGGGATTGTTATGTGTGTTGGACCTGGTCTTTGGGTGTTAAGTGAACTTCGTTGTATGGGGATACTGTGTATACATGTACAATGACAATAAAGTTATTTATTTATAATATCTGCAGGACTGTTTTTTTCTAGATAGTATCTGCCCATCTATTGGGTGCCAATGTAGAGAAACCATGTTACCTGTCCCCATCCCTTGGGATGTGCCTTGGGAAGGGACTTGTAACTAACATTCTCTGCTGGAGCTCTCTTCTTGAGGAATCCATTCCCTGCTAAACTAAGGTTAACAATCTTGTTAAGATTAGCAAGTGAAAACTTAGTGAAAACTTGATGATTTAAGCAGACATTTGGGGATGGTGACATGAAGGATAGAGATACCTAATGCAGAGGTTGGTGCTGCTAATTATGATATTGTGATTGTGCTTTAATTGAGAGTTTGTGTGTTCTATAATTTTATTGTATATGTTTTGTAAACCATTTACAATCATTTCACTGTACTGGCATAAAAGCATTTAAAATAAATGAGTAAAACAAACAAACAAACAAACAAATGTTTTATTGACCTATCATAGAAGTACCAATTTCTTTGTTTCAAATAAATCTTTATATTCTGCAAATTATCAGCACTGCATTATCCCTCATAATATTAAGAAACACTCTGGACTACAATACCAACACAATGTCCCCCATTTTGACATGGAACTGGCATGTTACTGTGTTTCATTCTGAGCAATGCCATTGTAGTATAGAAACAGGTAAGACTGAAGATTTCATTTCTATAGGTTACAGAAACCAGTGCGGTATAATTGTTAGGAGTGGGACTAGATCTGTGGATGTCAAGATTCAAGTCTACCTCATCCATGGAAGATTGATGAATGACTTTGGACCAATCATTCTTTCTATCTCTCCCTCTTTCTCAGCCCAATCTACCTCATAGCATTGTGGTTATATGAAAAAAAATGGAAGGGGATGTGCTGTGTATGCTATCTTGAGCCCTTGGAGGAAAGGCAGAATATAAATTTAGGATGGAGTTCAGGGAAAAACATATGCCACTTTCTCAGATAATATTAAACTATGAAAACCTGAAGACAAAGGAATATCAGATGCGTGCTAGAGTCTGTACTTCATTATTATCTGTAGTTGTTTCTCTATCAACGATATAGAAGAGGTGCTCTATAAAATGCTATTCTGGCACCATGTAATTTTTTAAAAAATGAATCAGACTTTGTTGATTGTCCTTTATATACACAAAAAGAGATTGCTACAAACATTAACTGTTGTTGCTGTACTTGAACATATTTTTGAGATGGATTATAGTGCCTAATTCTACTTTCCCAGATGTCACTAATATGAACTTAACATCCTCTTGTGACCACAGCTTCAGCCTCTGTGGAAACAGAACCTTAATATTCTACCAGGGACTGATCCTATTCAAGACTGTACCATATCAAATATGTTATCAGACATGACTTTGTTCCCCACTTTCACATCAATGTGAATATTTTCAGTAACATCTGAAGATCAATAACTGGTCAAAAATCTCACACCTAAGAACCACAATCTGAAATATTGATCAATTGCAAATAGCTCTAATATGATTGTAATCCAGGAGAGAGCAGAATTAAAGTGTCTCTATTGTTTTGCTCTTCCATTTTGCAAAAACAGACTTCCTAATCATTCTCTGAAAGGCATGTTTCACCTCTTGATTCCTCAAGGCATAGATCATGGGATTCAGCATAGGGATCATCACTGTGTAGAACAAAGAGGCCACCTTGTCTTGATCCAGAGTGTAAGTAGAAGTCGGTCGTAGATACATGAAGAAAATTGTCCCATAGAAGATGGCCACCACAGTCATGTGGGAACTACAGGTGGAAAAAGCTTTACGTCTACTCTCTGTGGAGCTTATCCTTAAGACAGCAATCAGGATGCAGGAGTAAGAGATGAAAATGGTCATTGTAGTGGTTACACAGTTGATACTAACCAGAGCAAATATAACCATCTCATAAAAATGGGTGTCAGAACAAGAAAGCTTAAGCAGTGGAGGAATATCACAGAAATAATTGTTGACTTTATTTGAGCCACAAAAAGATAAAGTAAATGTGAATATGGTGTGTGTCAATGAGTGAAATAAGCCAACTGCATAAGAACCAGCTACAAGCAATGCACACCTTTTCCTGCACATAATGACTGGGTAATGAAAAGGCTTACAAATAGCCACATAACGGTCATAGGCCATTACAGCCAGCAGAAGGCATTCTGTAATTCCAAAGATAACAAATAAAAACATCTGAGCTACACAGGCTGAAAATCTAATGGTTTTTCTCTCTGCTAAAAGATCCACCAACATTTTGGGAGTGATGGCTGAAGAATAACAGATATCCACGAAAGCTAAATGACTAAGAAAAAAGTACATGGGGGTTTGAAGCTGTGCATCAGATCTGATTAGTAAAATCATTCCCAGATTCTCCAATAAGGTGACAGCATACACATTTAGGAAGAGAACAAAGAGAGGCAATTGTAGCTCTGTTTGGTTTGTCAAGCCAAGAAAAATGAATTCATTTATGGTAGTATGATTCTGCCAGGACATTTCCCCCAGCAAGAGTTCCTGTTTAAAATATGAAACAATACAGTGAAATGAAATGTTTACCTAGACCAGTCAAGATCATATCACCATCCATTTTTCTCAGTTAAAACAAGATTTTGTTTCTTTTTAGTATTTGAAAATAAAATCCTAAAATTATATGTAAAAGACAAAAATGAAACAAAATCTGATAACTAAAAATCCCTAATGGTTCTAACCTACCCTACAAGTTTGCTGACAGAAACTTCTCCAGATGGTTTTTCCTTTTAGTTGTATCCTTTGCCAAAAAAAATTAAAGAGTCTTGCAAGCAATAGACTCTTCTCTCTCTTCCCGGGTATTTTTTTTACTCATATATTACTAGCTTCCATATTTTTCTACCCACCCACTTTTTATTAACCTTGCAATATCTTAACACTCCTCCTCCCCACATCCAAATAAACCTTTTGCCTCCTTTGCCTCTAGACTCTCTTCTTCCCCGGAACATTTTTTGTATCAGCTCCACCATCATTTAATTTTGTTGCTTTCATTCCTGCTCCTTGTTCTCAGTTCCAGCCATTGCTCAGCATTCCTATCTTGTTTATAACATGGAAAACCCTTTTCTCACCACCTCAACATGAGCAGGCACATGGTTGGCCTTAAGGCAAACATATTTATTATCATGTTTGTCTTCCTGAGCCTAGTCAAATATCAGACCTCGAATTCATTAGTAACTAACTTACTTGTAACATGAAGCATTGCATCTCTGTGATTATTTAAGGAGATACCCACAGAGTATTTATTCATGTTCTGGGGCCTCTGGGACTTTCTTTTTAACAACCGTATAGCATTTCTTCTGTGTCAGCTGGATGCTAAGGATCTGTTGCCTTGCTATCTTCCAAAGCCCTCCTTTGTTTGCTTAAACAACCCAAACTGCAAAGCTTTGCTGACTTCCTATATAATGTGTTGAGGGGTATTTATTTATTTATTGGTTCGATTTATATGCCGCCCTTCTCTGGAGACTCAGGGCGGCTTACAATGCATTAAGCAATACTTCATACTTTTGTATATACATGCTTAGTAGGGCTTTTTGGCCCCCCATAAGCGGTGTTCTTTTTTATACAAAGTCAGTTTATTGCCCTCACAATCCGGGTCCTCATTTTACCTACCTTGAAAGGATGGAACGCTGAGTCAACCTTGAGCCTGGTGAGATTTGAACTTGCAGTAATTGCAGACAGCTGGTGCTACTTAATAGCACTTTAGTCTGCTGCGCCACCAAGGCTCTTTGGATATATTTGTCAACCCCATTAAGAAGCTCTGCTTTAAATATGCAGTAGCTGCTTTAAGTTAGAAAAGATGATTGTTTCCACATATTCACTGGGTTCCACTAATAAAGCTGACTATCATTTTAGCTGTGTAAATGTTCTATTTATACTAAGAACTGGAGATCTTTTTGATACACAGTGCTGTTATTGGAATTTACTATATTAAAATGTGTTAAGCTTTGACTAATGTCTAAGGCTAACCTCAGTTGACCAAAGACATGATATGAAGTCAATCAATATCTATGGGCTCATCTGGTGATACAAGAAATTAGAGTGAATGTGGAATGTTGGTAGGGAAAAGGAGCATAGGTCCTGAATGAAAAAGTATTCCAAGTTAGATAGTTTTTTTAATAAAATGAATGGAAAACAAAGCTAAGAACAATGAATAAAACAAAGAGATATCAGTGATAGCTCAGCTGAGGTAACTGGGTAACAAAATACAAAAAATGAAATGAAAATGAAAACCATGCATAGTTTTGGGAAATGGATATGGATATAAAATTACAAATGCTAGAAGGATAAAATCAGTTCTCAAGAATAAATGACATACAGTATATTAAGGAAAAAGAAGAACTTGAAAGACTCCTACAAAACTAACACATCCGTTGGTGTGTGTGTGTGTATAGCTTTTCATTTTGGGATTAATGGATATATAGTTGAAAAAAAAAGTAATGGAATGTTGTTTTTATATATAACTGAAGCGAGATTATTGGGTGCACAATGATGGAAAGGTTTATCAATACCCACAATGGAGGAATGGTTGGTGAAGATAATGGAACTTGCTGAGATGGCTAAATTGATTTCTTTGATCAAAGAGAAGACAATATCTGTGTTTATTGATGATTAGAAACTTATGGATTTTTAGCATAAAAGAGAGAAAAATGATTTATGGCTTTGATTATTAGACAGGATAGATTATGCAAAGAAGAATTAAATTGTAACCACAGAATAAGAGGTATATTTATATTTGTACTTATAACTACTGTAAAGAAAATTGGAAGCTGCTTTTTGCCCCCTTTTTTTCTTTTCTATTTTTCTTTTTCTTTCTTTCTTGCACTTTTACCATTCTCTTTGATTTCTTCTTTTTCTTTTTTCTAATTTTTATTAGTTTGCGTAATTTTTTAACTTTCTTTTTCAAACTCTTTAATAAAAAATAATAGAAAAAAAAGATATGATACAGAGACAGAACAAATTAAAAACTGTATGATAAAACGAATCCAGAATTTTAAAGAATCAGTTACAATGTTACATTGGAAAGAATTATGGACTAAATCTTTAAAGTTTATACCCAGTTATAACTTAAAGGAAAATTGCTACAAAATGTTCTATAAATGGTATAAAACTCCATCCATCATATCTAAGATAAGCAAATCGTATAGCAATAAATGTTGGAAATGTCATGACACAAACAGTAGACGTGTAAAAAAATAAATAAAACCAAAGCAGTGGAAAGATTTGAAACAGAATTTGAAACGGAAGCCACAAATTTCTTTATTGACCATAATTTCAGAAAAATCATCAAGAAACATCACAATTTAACGATACATAGAAAAAGAGATAGTGCTTGTTTCAATTTTAGAAAATATAGATACTATGTGCAGCCTCGGGGATGAAATTTGTTCATGATCATAAAAGGGTTATGTGCCTACTAGTCAGTGACATTCATATCTGTTTTGAAAGTAATCTAAAATGATAACTTCTTGGCAAAACTCTCCTAATCATGTTAGTTAGGAGCATTCGATTCAAAAACTTATGGATGTTCAGAATGTATATTAAATTTGAATATAGTTGGGTCACATTAAGTATGGTTTTGTCAAGTAGCAAATCTCCTCAACACACACGTGATGAACCTGATGGCAAGAACTTTACCCATGCAGGGAAGGGATGTTCAAGAATACATCCAGATTCAGCAACAAAGCACGGTGGAGGGGGATGCGCGTCTAGGAAACACATTGATGGTGATAGGTGACGGACGATATAGGAAAGAGGAAACCAAAGGGGGGGGGGAACCCAGGCACTCTGAAGCAAAAGCGGTGACGACAGCTGATGACATCATTCACCGGCATTCTCAGCCTTCGAATGGGAGGGGCGGGACCTGGCAGTATATTCAAAGATGCTACCGCTGTAAACTCATTTACAACGCCTATAAAACCACAGCAATTGAGCAGCCAGCTAACTCCATCTTTGAGCTGAAGTCACAGCGCCAGCATTTTCTGTAAAACCGTCGTGTTAACCGAGATTAAACCCTGGGTTGTATTAGCCAATTCCGTGTGTCTGTTGTGCTTTACCCAGCTTCAGACAGATGGTTCCTGGAACGCTGAGAGGTTTTTATTAACTAATTCCCCCCCAAAAGTGTCAGGTAATATAAAAGCGATATTTTGGATTTCCACTCTTACTCCCTATCATCGAGGAAGGCAAAATGTGAATAAGAGAACATAAAATACTTAAAGAGAATTATAAATTTCAACAGGCAAGAGATGGCAGCAGTACTGAGTTAGAAAGATGGCTTAATTTTTTTTAAGAATGTTGCAGATAAGATCCCACTGACAAGAAATGCATTTGTGGCTCCTAGTTCATTCAAATGCCATGATCTATATATTCATTTTAAGTGTATGATGGATAATGGGATCACTGAGTATGTATACCAGACCTTAGTAACAATTCCCATGACTGCACAATGTAAAGGAAACTAAAAGCTGGCTTTTGCTTCAGCAAATTAAACAGATTAAACTGCATAATATTTGTACAGAGTAAAAAAAATAGTTTTTCCCCTAACGTTATATCCTGAAATTATATTTCTCAAAAATGTATGCATAAGACTTTGAAGGCAATAAAAGATTTTATTCTCCAGTTGCTCACTCAGATACTTAAATAAATATTTAAGAAAACCTAAATAGTCATTCAAACATTTAGCTTTGATATTATCGGCAGGACCACATTATGTCATTTTGTGGCATTATGGTGTTATAAATACCATCAGATCACCTGTTTAATGCTTTCTGTGAAAGCAAATATATATCCATAGAAAACTAGAATGTGAAAGAAAAGTTATCCTTGCAGGCTTACTCTAGTCTAAATAGTTATCTTATTACCTGGGTTAGTACTCATTCAGTTTCCTGGCTGTGTGCTCAGCCCATACAGAATCTTATTTTAGACAATTAAAGTTGCATATACAATGTATAAGTATCTACTGACCTAATAATGTACTTTCAAATTACAGCGATTTCCCCAAAATTTTCTGAAATGCCTCCTTCATATCTTTGTTCCTCAGACTGTAGATGAGAGGGTTCAACATGGGAATCACCACTGTATAAAACAAAGATGCCACTTTGTCTTCTTCTAGTGCATATGTAGAACTGGGCCGTAAATACATAAAAAAGATTGTCCCGTAGAATAAGCTGACAACAATCAGATGAGAAGAACAGGTGGAAAAGGCTTTGGATTTGCTCGAAGTGGAGCGGATCTTCAGAATAGTAGACAGAATACAGGCATATGAAATCAGAACGATCAGTGTAGTACTTACACAATTTATACTTACTTGTACAAATATTACTATCTGATTAATGTGAGTATCAGAGCATGAAAGTTTTAGCAGTGGAGGAATATCACAATAAAAATGATTGATCACATTTGGTCCACAAAAGGGTAAACTAAACACACACACAATATATAAAACTGAATAACAAATGCTTAGAACATATGAAACAGCTACTAGCCAGACACACCATTTTTCTGACATGATGATTGAATAATTCAGTGGGCTACAGATGGCCACATACCGATCAAAGGCCATCACAGCCAGTAGGAGACATTCACTGCTCCCGCAGAGGACACAAAAGAACATTTGAACTGCACAGCCAAATATTCCAATGATTTTCTTCTCCATTAAAAAGTCCACCAACATTTTAGGAGTAATGGCTGATGAATAACCGGTATCAGCAAAAGCCAGATTACTAAGGAAGAAATACATAGGAGTGTGAAGCCGGGCATCAAATCTGATTATAAAAATAATCCCCAAATTCGCTACCACAGTAATGATATACACAATAAGAAACAAAATGAATAAAGGGAGTTTGAGTTCTGGCTTACTTGTAATACCGAGAAAAATAAATTGGGTGACTCTTGAGTGATTGAACAAAGACTTCTCCATCTATCTGAACTTCCTGTTGAGAATTTTAAAAAAAGAAAACATATTTATTAATATCTGGA